TTCTCCTTTTCTTGTTCTATGTCTTTCTCCTTCTCCTTTTCTTGTTCTATGTCTTTCTCCTTCTCCTTTTCTTGTTCATTAGCATTCTCCTTCCCTTTTTCTTGTTCTTCCTTCTCCTTCACCTTTTCTTGTTCTTTGTCTTTCTCCTTCTCCTTTTCTTGTTCATTAGCATTCTCCTTCTCCTTTTCTTGTTCTTTGTTCTCTTCCTTCTCCTTCTCCTGTTCTTTTTCTTTCTCCTTCTCCTTCTCCTGTTCTTTTTCTTTACCATCCTCCTTCTCCCGTTCTTTTTCTTTACCATCCTCCTTTTCCTGTTCTTTTTCTTTCTCATTCTCCTTCTCCTGTTCTTTTTCTTTACCATCCTCCTTCTCCTGTTCTTTTTCTTTACCATCCTCCTTCTCCTGTTCTTTTTCTTTACCATCCTCCTTTTCTTTTTCTTTTTCTTTCCCCTTTTCTTGTTCTTTGTTCTCTTCCTTTTCCTTCACCTTTTCTTGTTCTTTTTCCTTCACCTTCACCTTCTCCTTCTGTTCTTTTTCTTTACCATCCTCATTTCCTTTTTCTTTCTCTTTCACCTTTTCTTGTTCTTTGTTCTCTTCCTTCTCCTTCACCTTTTCTTGTTCTTTTTCCTTCACCTTCTCCTTCTCCTGTTCTTTTTCTTTACCATCCTCCTTTTCTTTTTCTTTTTCTTTCCCCTTTTTTTGTTCTTTGTTCTCTTCCTTCTCCTTCACCTTTTCTTGTTCTTTGTTCTCTTCCTTCTCCTTCACCTTTTCTTGTTCTTTTTCTTTCTCCTTCTCCTTTTCCTGTTCTTTTTCTTTACCATCCTCCTTTCCTTTTCCTTTTACTTTACCATCCTCCTTTCCTTTCTCTATTTCTTTCCCCTTTTCATCTTCTCCCTCTGCGCGTTTCTTCCTTACATTATTATGTTCTTGATCCGAATTTTTTGACTTTGTAAAATCAACTAATAAATCCTTGCGTGTAAGAACCGACCTTGATTTTAATGAATCTATCATCGAGGAACCACGTAAAATAATTTTATTGTTTTTTGAAACATTATCACTATCATGGTTTGCTTCAACTAATGATATTGTGAATAAAAAATTTAACAGGATCAAAAATATTAGAATACGTGACTTTGTTGTTGATACCATCTTTGAAGAGTAATATCGATGAATTTCAACCTTAGAAAGAAGTATTTTTTTTCCTTTAACAATACTCTATGTTTTATAAATTATTTAGAACGGTGAAAGGTTAATTTAATGCTTGGTTTCGCAACTTTTAAGACGTGACGACGTTAAAATGTACAGCTTATTAATTAATTTAAAATTAAAATGGAAAAAAATGAAATGAAATGAAAATGAAAAAAAAAAAAAAAAAAAAAAAAAAAAAATGAGGTGAAAAAGAAATTTTTCAAAAGGGGAAAAAAATATATATATATATGTAAAATTTTTTACTTTATATAACTCTC